GGGTTCATTGAGAACATGGTTGTTGTTCAATAATAAAATTAATCCTCAAAAATACAACTTGCCTAATAATTCTGCACTCCCTGTAGAGGTAAGTACACAATTAGAGACTTTAGCACATCATATTTTGTGTTTTTATTTTTTACCCCGATAGCACAATATTAAGCACAATATGTCCATACTGTGTCACGCCACCCCTGTTTCAAAATATATCAATATTGATATAACTTTATTGTTAATATGTGAGATAAATATGCAACTTTCTTGCAATACTGCTTTCTCTCTTACATTTTATGCTTTTGTGGGGTCACTGATTATGGTTCACCCTGATTTGAGGAATGAGGGGTACTCAACCTAAAAAAAACCTAGTCATACAGAAATAATCTAAATTTAAAAAATGGAATTTTGGAAAGGGAACTGCCTAAAACAGGCATTGTTTAACAAAATGAGCATTGTGGGTGCCTTGGACAAAAAATTGCAATCTTGGAAACTTGCCGCAAACCACAGTTTTTTTTGGATAAAGCCTTAACTCTAAATAAAAAAAGAAGAAGAATGAACACACGGTTCAAATGACTCTGTGTATACACCCGTACAGAACTATCCCCCGTAGGTAAAACCCAGGGTGTACCGACAGGTGCCCCACAGAGATCGGTGTACCAATATGGGACTCCAGAGATCCCAAACGGGGCTTAACCCCAAGAACAACAACAAGGAAGATATAAAGCACAATGCGGTTCGTCTGCCTATGTCATAGGGACTAACCACACATCTGGAAATGTCTATCGCAATATAGCGTCTAATGGAAAAATAACTAAAGACCCAAAAACAAAAAAGTTAAATAAAGTATATACAAATGTGACTCAAATTCCATGCCTGATAGAGGGGGTATAGGTGGGGGTAAAATTGAGCCATTCAAATTGCTATCATAAACCCTAAATTATCTGCTTTATTAAATAATGGCACTATAGGGGTATGAAAAGCAGATGGCTATGTCCCCAACTGACTACCCCACTCCAAAATGTCAAAAGTTAGGATCTAAAAGGATGCTCATGGTAGAGCTAGTAAGGTAGAGTGGAGAGATAGACGATGAAAAACAGATCAGTATTCAGTCTAAAAGCAGACTGATGTTAGCATTTAAACAAAGCCTCTCTCCCTGTAAATCTAACTAGACAGGCATAGGAAATAAATAAGAAAGAAAGTAAGTGTTAAGTATAAGTCATGGTGTTAAAAGTCACCAGTGCCCAGTGCTCATATGAAAGATATGAGAAGGAGATGCCCGACGTACGTTTCGGTGCTACAGAGGAGCACCTTCGTCAGGGGCCAACAGAAGACTAGTTAAGGGTCTATTAAATACAAGAATTATGAGGAGGCATGGATGTCTTGGACCAATAGGGGCTGGGGGTGTACATACCCAGCTGTGTGTAATCTCTAATACCATGTTCATGTCCTGGTGCATCACGGAGTGCGTCTGGGGGCGGGACTAAATGCCGAACACGTGACCGGGTATACTGGATCATGTGTTTTAGCCGGCTGGACGGAAAGCCGGCAGGGTCACGTCGTGGGCGTCATTAGGTATGTAAATATTGCGGCCAGCCTCTACTACGGCTATATGTTGCTCCGCCTCTCACAAGTAGGTGGGCGGCTATACAACAAGCTGAAAGACGCATTCACGGACATTGAAGAAGATAAAAATAAATATGAAATAAAATAAAATAGAATAAATCGAAGTTACCAATATACAAATAAAGGGGAAATCAGGGATTTGTATCTGGACAAAAAAGTCCATAGTAGAACATCCCTAAATACCCCCTAATACATCCATCACTGTGTTCTTCTATAGGATATAGCACACATATCACACTAAGACAAAAAATATATCTAGGTCATAAAGATACAAGGTGATTGCTCAGGTGTAAGAATGGTAGTGGTGGTTCAAACAAGGACTCCTGAAACCAAATATTATTACAGACAGATAACCCATAAAGGGTAAATATTCAGTTCTGGTAATACAACTCATTATGAAAACCTCCCCATGGTATCCAGTGTATGAGTACAAGGTAGGAGCTAACTGAGTATATGGGTTCCAAATTCTTAAGGTGCTCAGATGTCTCGATATAAATATAGATATTCCATAGCGTGCACCTGGAGTCTGAACCTGCAGAACACACAGAGCAAGATATGCCGATCTACCATTGTCACAAATGTGTGTATGGAACGTGAGATTAATATGGTCGTAAGGTGACATCCATGTCTACAAAAAATAATCAAAATAATAAAAGAATTACTAAAGGAAAATTAATTAGATATATTTACATATAAATAGATAAACACTACACACGCTATACTACAAAATTTACAAGTGTATCTGACATAATTAGCTATTTGAATGAAAAATGTAAATACAAACATATCGTATATGAGTCATAAGAAAGAGATGGGGGCGAGAAAACAATATATGTATAATTACCATGGGAACTAAGCATCGATGAAGGGTGTATAGGAAAAACCCTCGTTTAACCCATATGGTGCCAATGTTTTGAGTTTATAAATCCAAAAACTCTCTCTTTGGAGTAATTTTTTGTCTAGGTCTCCTCCTCTTGGACCCAATGTAACCCTTTCAATGCCACAGAATTTAATCCCTGATGGGGATCCCCCATGAAAGAGCTTAAGATGTTTAGAAATTGGAGTATCAATTTGTCTTCCGGGATTAACTGAATTAACATGTTCCCTAATTCTGAGTTTAAATTTACGAAAGGTTTTTCCCACATATAACTTATTGCACGAGCATATAAGTAAATATACTAGACCCTTAGATTGACAGTTGAAAAAAGTACGTGCTTTAAATTCTTGTGTGCCTGAAGAGTCTGTAAATGTTTTAGATGGTCTATGTATGAATTTGCACGCCTTGCACCTACCACATTGATATGTGCCTATTACAGGAGACTTCAACCACGAGGGTTTTGGAGATGCTATCTTGAGATGGCTAGGGACAAGAATATCCTTGATATTATGCCCCCTTCTTGCTGTTACTGATGCCTTGGGTGTGATCACCCTATGAAGGTGAGGATCCTGATGAAGAAGGGGCCAGAACCTATCTAGGATACTCATAATTTGATGCCAGCCTGCGTCAAAGTTGCCTATACATCTGATAATCTCTTGTGTTGAGTCTACCTTTCTCTCACAAAGGAGATCTTTACGGTCTGCCAATAGTGCCCTTTTGTATGCATTTTTTAAACATTTATTTGGATACCCCTTCTGTTTAAACTGATATTGTAAAGTCTTTGCCTTCAGTTTAAAATCTTCTACGGTAGAGCAGTTGCGTCTTAATCGTAAATACTGTCCAACTGGAATCCCTTTTTTCAGGGAAGGTGGATGGTAACTTGTCCAGTTCAACAGATTATTGGTTGCCGTGGGTTTCCGAAAGAGGGTAGATGTAAGAACCCCTCCATCTGACAGGGAAATGGTGAGATCTAGGAAATTAATTTTATTACCACCAATTTCACTCGTCAGTTTCAGATTGATATGATTTGAGTTTAAATTGTTGACAAATTCTAAAAAGAGTTCAGAGGTGTCTGTCCATATGATCAGTACATCGTCGATGTATCTTTTCCATATTTTTATATGTTTTGTATATTTTAGCATACGTTCATTAAACACCATACTGTTCTCCCACCACCCCAGGTGGAGGTTAGCATATGAGGGGGCACAAGCCGTCCCCATAGCCGTTCCTCTCACCTGGTGGTAGTATTTTCCTTGGAAGATGAAATGGTTGTGTGTTAAAATGAACTGCATCAGATCATGGACAAACTCATTATGTCTTAGGGAAAACATTGGTTTGTTATCCAAAGTTGCTCGAAGGTGTTGTAAACCCACTTCGTGTGGTATTGAGCTATAAAGGCTCTCCACGTCGAGGCTACAAAGGATAGCATGACCAGTAATTTTAATCTCTTCTATGATATTTAGTGTATGTTTAGTGTCTTTTAAGTATGAAGGGAGTTCAAACACAAATTTCCTTAGGATCTGATCAACATAAAGACTTATATTTTGGGTGAGATTCCCTCTACCAGAGACTATAGGTCTTCCATTTAGTATGGGTTGCTGTTTATGCACTTTCGGAAGTGCATAAAATGTAGCGGTGACAGGATTCTTAACAAACATGAAGTTATATTCTTCCTTGGATATTAGGGATAAGGACAATGCCGTGTCAAGAATTGTTTTTAATTCGGCAAGATATTTTTGTGTAGGGTCACCCTTTAATATTTCATATGTCTCCCTATCTCCAATTAGTCTGTGAACCATTGAAACATAATCTGGTTTGTTTAAAATGACCGTGTTGCCTCCTTTGTCAGAGGGTTTAAAAATCACCTCCTCCATATCTCTCAATTTTTTAAGTGAAATACTTTCTTGTGGAGATATATTGCTATTAGGCTGAATTGGCAAGTCTCTCTGATTGATTTTATCAATTTCGTTGCATGTCAATTCCACAAATAGGTCTATGTACTTGAAATCCACTAGATGTGGAGTGAACAGGCTTTTCTTTTTCAATTGTGTGAATGGAGGTTGTTTTTGTGTAGAATTCTCATTGCAGGTGAGCAGATCAACTAATATATCCAGTGCCCCTATATCAGAGGCTTGTAGTCCTAGATCTTTGGCCCTTTTATCATCTTTCATCTGATGAAATTTGTGCAGAGCCAATTTTCTTGCAAAAAGGTGTATGTCCTTTGTCCAACCAAATTTGTCAAAATTAGAAACTGGGACAAAGGACATACCCCGTTGCAAGATCTGTAGCTCAACTTTTGTGGGAGTGTAGGAAGACCGATTGATAATCTGATTATCAAGAGGGGCCTGATCTAATATCTTTTTCTTCTGAACTGTTGGGGTGGTCTGCCTCTGTTGCGTGTCCGTGGGGCTAGATTTTCTTCCATGGTGGGTTGTCCTAAAAAAGAAACCCCCCTTTTCAATATACTTTTAGTATTCCGTTCAAATGGAACTGAAGGTCCCCCCTTTGCTGATTCAGAATCCGAACCACTCGTCTCATATTCTGATGTAGATATAGGTTCAGAAAAGCTCCTCCTCTGACCTATATCTACATCAGAATATGAGACGAGTGGTTCGGATTCTGAATCAGCAAAGGGGGGACCTTCAGTTCCATTTGAACGGAATACTAAAAGTATATTGAAAAGGGGGGTTTCTTTTTTAGGACAACCCACCATGGAAGAAAATCTAGCCCCACGGACACGCAACAGAGGCAGACCACCCCAACAGTTCAGAAGAAAAAGATATTAGATCAGGCCCCTCTTGATAATCAGATTATCAATCGGTCTTCCTACACTCCCACAAAAGTTGAGCTACAGATCTTGCAACGGGGTATGTCCTTTGTCCCAGTTTCTAATTTTGACAAATTTGGTTGGACAAAGGACATACACCTTTTTGCAAGAAAATTGGCTCTGCACAAATTTCATCAGATGAAAGATGATAAAAGGGCCAAAGATCTAGGACTACAAGCCTCTGATATAGGGGCACTGGATATATTAGTTGATCTGCTCACCTGTAATGAGAATTCTACACAAAAACAACCTCCATTCACACAATTGAAAAAGAAAAGCCTGTTCACTCCACATCTAGTGGATTTCAAGTACATAGACCTATTTGTGGAATTGACATGCAACGAAATTGATAAAATCAATCAGAGAGACTTGCCAATTCAGCCTAATAGCAATATATCTCCACAAGAAAGTATTTCACTTAAAAAATTGAGAGATATGGAGGAGGTGATTTTTAAACCCTCTGACAAAGGAGGCAACACGGTCATTTTAAACAAACCAGATTATGTTTCAATGGTTCACAGACTAATTGGAGATAGGGAGACATATGAAATATTAAAGGGTGACCCTACACAAAAATATCTTGCCGAATTAAAAACAATTCTTGACACGGCATTGTCCTTATCCCTAATATCCAAGGAAGAATATAACTTCATGTTTGTTAAGAATCCTGTCACCGCTACATTTTATGCACTTCCGAAAGTGCATAAACAGCAACCCATACTAAATGGAAGACCTATAGTCTCTGGTAGAGGGAATCTCACCCAAAATATAAGTCTTTATGTTGATCAGATCCTAAGGAAATTTGTGTTTGAACTCCCTTCATACTTAAAAGACACTAAACATACACTAAATATCATAGAAGAGATTAAAATTACTGGTCATGCTATCCTTTGTAGCCTCGACGTGGAGAGCCTTTATAGCTCAATACCACACGAAGTGGGTTTACAACACCTTCGAGCAACTTTGGATAACAAACCAATGTTTTCCCTAAGACATAATGAGTTTGTCCATGATCTGATGCAGTTCATTTTAACACACAACCATTTCATCTTCCAAGGAAAATACTACCACCAGGTGAGAGGAACGGCTATGGGGACGGCTTGTGCCCCCTCATATGCTAACCTCCACCTGGGGTGGTGGGAGAACAGTATGGTGTTTAATGAACGTATGCTAAAATATACAAAACATATAAAAATATGGAAAAGATACATCGACGATGTACTGATCATATGGACAGACACCTCTGAACTCTTTTTAGAATTTGTCAACAATTTAAACTCAAATCATATCAATCTGAAACTGACGAGTGAAATTGGTGGTAATAAAATTAATTTCCTAGATCTCACCATTTCCCTGTCAGATGGAGGGGTTCTTACATCTACCCTCTTTCGGAAACCCACGGCAACCAATAATCTGTTGAACTGGACAAGTTACCATCCACCTTCCCTGAAAAAAGGGATTCCAGTTGGACAGTATTTACGATTAAGACGCAACTGCTCTACCGTAGAAGATTTTAAACTGAAGGCAAAGACTTTACAATATCAGTTTAAACAGAAGGGGTATCCAAATAAATGTTTAAAAAATGCATACAAAAGGGCACTATTGGCAGACCGTAAAGATCTCCTTTGTGAGAGAAAGGTAGACTCAACACAAGAGATTATCAGATGTATAGGCAACTTTGACGCAGGCTGGCATCAAATTATGAGTATCCTAGATAGGTTCTGGCCCCTTCTTCATCAGGATCCTCACCTTCATAGGGTGATCACACCCAAGGCATCAGTAACAGCAAGAAGGGGGCATAATATCAAGGATATTCTTGTCCCTAGCCATCTCAAGATAGCATCTCCAAAACCCTCGTGGTTGAAGTCTCCTGTAATAGGCACATATCAATGTGGTAGGTGCAAGGCGTGCAAATTCATACATAGACCATCTAAAACATTTACAGACTCTTCAGGCACACAAGAATTTAAAGCACGTACTTTTTTCAACTGTCAATCTAAGGGTCTAGTATATTTACTTATATGCTCGTGCAATAAGTTATATGTGGGAAAAACCTTTCGTAAATTTAAACTCAGAATTAGGGAACATGTTAATTCAGTTAATCCCGGAAGACAAATTGATACTCCAATTTCTAAACATCTTAAGCTCTTTCATGGGGGATCCCCATCAGGGATTAAATTCTGTGGCATTGAAAGGGTTACATTGGGTCCAAGAGGAGGAGACCTAGACAAAAAATTACTCCAAAGAGAGAGTTTTTGGATTTATAAACTCAAAACATTGGCACCATATGGGTTAAACGAGGGTTTTTCCTATACACCCTTCATCGATGCTTAGTTCCCATGGTAATTATACATATATTGTTTTCTCGCCCCCATCTCTTTCTTATGACTCATATACGATATGTTTGTATTTACATTTTTCATTCAAATAGCTAATTATGTCAGATACACTTGTAAATTTTGTAGTATAGCGTGTGTAGTGTTTATCTATTTATATGTAAATATATCTAATTAATTTTCCTTTAGTAATTCTTTTATTATTTTGATTATTTTTTGTAGACATGGATGTCACCTTACGACCATATTAATCTCACGTTCCATACACACATTTGTGACAATGGTAGATCGGCATATCTTGCTCTGTGTGTTCTGCAGGTTCAGACTCCAGGTGCACGCTATGGAATATCTATATTTATATCGAGACATCTGAGCACCTTAAGAATTTGGAACCCATATACTCAGTTAGCTCCTACCTTGTACTCATACACTGGATACCATGGGGAGGTTTTCATAATGAGTTGTATTACCAGAACTGAATATTTACCCTTTATGGGTTATCTGTCTGTAATAATATTTGGTTTCAGGAGTCCTTGTTTGAACCACCACTACCATTCTTACACCTGAGCAATCACCTTGTATCTTTATGACCTAGATATATTTTTTGTCTTAGTGTGATATGTGTGCTATATCCTATAGAAGAACACAGTGATGGATGTATTAGGGGGTATTTAGGGATGTTCTACTATGGACTTTTTTGTCCAGATACAAATCCCTGATTTCCCCTTTATTTGTATATTGGTAACTTCGATTTATTCTATTTTATTTTATTTCATATTTATTTTTATCTTCTTCAATGTCCGTGAATGCGTCTTTCAGCTTGTTGTATAGCCGCCCACCTACTTGTGAGAGGCGGAGCAACATATAGCCGTAGTAGAGGCTGGCCGCAATATTTACATACCTAATGACGCCCACGACGTGACCCTGCCGGCTTTCCGTCCAGCCGGCTAAAACACATGATCCAGTATACCCGGTCACGTGTTCGGCATTTAGTCCCGCCCCCAGACGCACTCCGTGATGCACCAGGACATGAACATGGTATTAGAGATTACACACAGCTGGGTATGTACACCCCCAGCCCCTATTGGTCCAAGACATCCATGCCTCCTCATAATTCTTGTATTTAATAGACCCTTAACTAGTCTTCTGTTGGCCCCTGACGAAGGTGCTCCTCTGTAGCACCGAAACGTACGTCGGGCATCTCCTTCTCATATCTTTCATATGAGCACTGGGCACTGGTGACTTTTAACACCATGACTTATACTTAACACTTACTTTCTTTCTTATTTATTTCCTATGCCTGTCTAGTTAGATTTACAGGGAGAGAGGCTTTGTTTAAATGCTAACATCAGTCTGCTTTTAGACTGAATACTGATCTGTTTTTCATCGTCTATCTCTCCACTCTACCTTACTAGCTCTACCATGAGCATCCTTTTAGATCCTAACTTTTGACATTTTGGAGTGGGGTAGTCAGTTGGGGACATAGCCATCTGCTTTTCATACCCCTATAGTGCCATTATTTAATAAAGCAGATAATTTAGGGTTTATGATAGCAATTTGAATGGCTCAATTTTACCCCCACCTATACCCCCTCTATCAGGCATGGAATTTGAGTCACATTTGTATATACTTTATTTAACTTTTTTGTTTTTGGGTCTTTAGTTATTTTTCCATTAGACGCTATATTGCGATAGACATTTCCAGATGTGTGGTTAGTCCCTATGACATAGGCAGACGAACCGCATTGTGCTTTATATCTTCCTTAACTCTAAATAAGACTGTGTTTGTAGCACAAACTCTGTAACAGATAATGCCCTTAAAGAGTAGTTATCACACGGGTGCGTATATATATATATTAATTAAAAAGACTGATCAATCAATCCATTTTCAAAGCCGCAATCTACCTGTTTAGATTCGTTATCAGTATTCGAAACTTGAGCTCGGTGCTCCACACCTTCCAAGGAATAATTATCTCGAACCAAGGAAGCCAGACCGAGTGGTTATTGAAACTCATTGTTGAGAGTTTTGGATTGTTTCATATCATTATCATTATATAGTGTTTTGATTGGTTTTGGATTGCTTTACATTGTTTTAGATTGCTGGGTCTAATAATTAGACTTGTGCATTCGGTTTAAAACGAACTTCAGATTGCTAAAATTTGAGGCGATAATATATAAATTTAGTTTTTTTTTTTTTACCTCTCCTCCTCTTTTCCCCTTTATTGGTTACTTTTACTCACTTGATTTGTGAACCAAATGTACTGCAAAATATATACATAATGTTTCTATTTTGTATTACATTGCCATTTTGGTACGTCCAAATTGTTTTTCCCAAATGATCAATTGGATGAAATTCATCCAAACAGAAACGTCACATGAACAAATGCTGAATTGCCCCCCAAATTTTTTTTTTGATAAATCGATTTAGACAAAACAAACTTTTATACTGTGAGTTGGGGGTCATTAAAAAA